AAATAGATATACAAACAAACACCACAAAACGGCAAAAATTAATTAGAAAAAATAAAAAATAAAAATCAGTCTGAATAAAGTCTATGGAGATCGTCAAGTGAAGGCAGCTCCTTAAGCATCGTGTCGAAATCCCTAAACGACATTCCCCGGTCCAAAACCGGCGGACGTCCAGGCGGCGGCGCCGCCGCCTCCGTGGCGGCGGTGGAGTCTTTTCCGGTGAGGCTCTGGACGATTGACTTGAAACTCACGGCGTCGGTCTCCACGTACTGCGTGTTGATTATCACCACCTTCACGCCGTCTTTATTCCGACCGCCCATCACAAATCGTCGGAAAAAAAGGAGTAAAAACAATGACCGCGCTACTGTGTGTTTTTGTGTGTATGCTNCAACCTGATTATTGTTTGTCTGTGTGGATGTGTGTGGAGAGATAGATAATTTAAATAATGAGGATTCTGTAAGTACGGATTGACAAATTAATAACTGGGAGATGCAATAAGTTGACCGTTGGGTGACGTAGGATTTTTGGCGGGTCAACTCGGATTTGGGTCAAACCTACGCAGCTGCGGGAAGGAAACTATATGGCCCCCGCAGCACCTTCCCGCGAAATTTACATCATTAATTAGGGTTTTCTTTTTCTTTTTTTTTACTTGATGAATAAGCTTGGATTTAGTAAAATACAAATTTGTGTAATTGTTAGGCGAGTCGATCAGTTAAACTGTATTAACAATAATGTATAATTTTGTTATAAAGAGTTGTATTTTGTTTCTGTTGGTTAAACGATGTTTGTCAATTTTAAAATATTAATATTTATTGAAAAAGTATATATGATCACATATATAACTGTTTGATATGTAAAACGTAAAGTGGAGAGTGATCAATATATATTATTACGGTGGATGTTTTTTTGCTTGATAAAACAAAATTAATTAGGACTTATGTGTGTACGGAATCCTTTTCACGTTTAATTTTGAATTTTGATTGAGGATTCCAATGATATTCATATTAGATATTTGGTGTAAATATTTTATACTGCACTCTTATATCTCTTCTTTTTCATACTTTACGTTTGATTGTCTTAAACTGTTTCGCATTGTCCTTTCTTTTTCAAGTAATATAAACTACATATTTTCCAAGATCTTGCCTCTTTGAAGGTTACATGTCCCACTTATTTACATTGTCACCTCTTTCTATACATATACTTAATTATGTGATTATTTGGAATGCAACAACACTAGTATTTAAAAAATCGAATCGAAACTGTTGACAATCAGATTCTGGTTCGTATATTTTTATTTTTTGAACTACAATATATCAACATTTTATATAAAAATGTATAATGACTATTGACTATTATTTGATCATTAATGAGGAGAAATAATCTTATTATGAATTGGCCGTGTACTTAGTGTGTCGCTACTCCTATTTAAGTGTTAAAGGAAAATTCATGGGTAACAGCCCTCATCGATTTTTGTTATAATCATTGAATTATACAAATTTAACGATAAAAAAACCTGATTAGTGCGGTAGAATCGAACTTTTCTGATTTTTAGACTACAAAAATTGTCCCAATTATTGTCCATTATTTCTTTTATTTTTCATTTCATATATGTTGCTCGGATCAAAATACTTGACCACTTTTTTATTATTATTGTACGAAAAGTTACAATAAATAGTTTGTGTCCGTGGTCGCATGCACACCGCAAGAAATTGGTCCACAAAATTGTTGTGGGCACTTTCAAATTTAAATTGTGCTGACCAAAATATTGCAACTTGATTTTTGTCCCAAAGGCCTAGGGACTTACGTTGAATTTGGTGGGTGCACAAATATTATATATATAATGTGTATATATATACATAATTTGTTGGAAAAAAAATATATACATAATTTGAATTTTGAAGAATGACTCGTAAAATCACATTAGACTTAATAATTTTTTTTTTCGCTTTTCATTTTTCAATCAATACATGTCGTCTCTCCTTCTTTTCTCTTGTTTTTCTTCCTGCGACCAAAATTCAAGATTCATTCATTCGATCTTAATTATTAACCACTAGTAAAAAATATAAAATAATAGAAAAAATACATGTTGTTGTATAAAAGTGCAAAAATAGAAAATACCAAAGTCGATATTATTTCAAATTTTAAAAAATTTCTTTGTACACAACATTAATAGTTTTATTTACAATCTAAATTATATAATAATAATTGTAAAAAAATAAATAAAATTTAGAATAATTTTTCTCATAAATTTTAAAATTTAAGAATAATTTTGTAACGAGCACCCGTGTAATAATAATTCTTTAGCTAATAGTCAATTCACGGAAGTAAATAAAAAAATATATACATAAAAATATATAATAAAATAAATAAATTTGCAATTCTTTATCTTACATATTCAATTATTTAAAAAAAAAAATAGAATATCATTATTATTAAAAATAATAGTGCTTTAATATTTTCAATCAAGTTAGTTAAACTATGCCAGTGATGTATCAACAATAATTTTCTCACGGTATATAAGATATACTTTTTATAAGAATTTTTAAAATCTATGATATAATTTTGGAGGGGAATGGATTAAGCAATATATAGGATTCTTAACATTTGATTGGTATGGGATTCTTAACCGTATTTTTGTGGTATAGAATTTTTAACCCGTGTATTTTTTGTGATATAAGATAAGAATCCTATTTATTTTGGAGTTGAAGGGGATCGGATTAAGCAAAAATTTTATTTATTTTGAAATATAATTATATTATTAATTTTTATCCGAACAAAAAACTGAAGCATGTAATGTTGCCAAGTAAGCTTCTGAAGCGTGCGAGCCAGCCATTTAAGCTCAGCACGGTTGAAATTATATTGAAAAGGGGGATTTTCATGTACGCCATAGTTACAATATGAACCTTTAATTATTAATTCTAGTAAATTTCAACTAGGGCTATGTTTAGTAAAACTAGCTGATAAGCTAGCTTATAGCTTATTTGTAATTTTTTAGCTTATAGCTTATAGCTTATGACTTATAGCTGAAAAGCTAGCTTATCTGATAAAATTAGCTGATAAGCTACCTAGGTTGTGTTTGGTAAGTCAAATAAGCTAGCTTATAGCTTATTTAGTTAGCTTATAAGCTCTCTATATTCAAATAAGCCTCGTTTGGTAGGACGAGCGTTTTTAAAAAGTTCGAGCTTATCTCATAAGCTACTTTAGGTAGCTTTTCAAATAAGTTAGTTGAATTTTTTATTTCAGCTAACTTAGCAGCTAATTTTACCAAACACTTTTATCATATAAGCTAGCTTTTCAGCTATAAGTCATAAGCTATAAGTTATAAGCTAAAAAATTACAAATAACCTATAAGCTAGCTTATCAGCTATCAGCTAGTTTATCAGCTAGTTTTACCAAACATAGCCCTAAAGTAACTTATGAGATAAGTTCGAACTTTTTAAAAAAGCTCGCCCTACCAAACGAGACTTATTTGGATACATGAATTTATAAGCTAACCAAATAAGCTATAAACTAACTTAATTATTTGACTTACCAAACACATATATACATACAGTTGCACAAAATAAAACCCGAGTACAACATACCATACGTAGAAAGTAATTTAATAACTAAATACAAGATTTTATTTGACTAAAACATTCTAGACCATAGCTATCAATTATATGTACATATTTTATAAGAACAAGTCAATATTAATTGTATCAATTTCATTATATGGCCACATAAATGAATAAATAATAGTACATGATAGACTTGCATGCACAAGACTTCCACTGGTGTACGGGTCGTCACAGGGAAATCTTGTTCGAACAGTTCTGAGGAAAATTTCAAGAGAGATAGTCGGTTAATTAATTTTAGTTATCAAATTATTATTATTTGGACACTAATGCTCACTTTTGAAGACTTGTACACAGTTTTCTTTTATTGCTGCAAAACACAACGGTAAAGGAAAAAGAACCTTCTCCGCTACCTTCATTCTAACCTTTTGCTCCAAAAGAATAAAAAGGGAAAAATATTGAGGAAAAAAAATGAATTTAGACCACTATAATATTGGTTATATTTAGAGCATCTCCAATAACACAATGTCTATTTTTATATGTATGATGTAGAGAAAAGAAATAAAAATAGTTTGTCTCCAATGGTGAATGTCAATTGTAGAATAAATTGACATGTGTAAGATAATAATTAGTTGGTGGAGAAAGATATATAAAATAAATAATATAATTTAGATAGAAGACAATGAAATAATAAATAATATATAAATAATAAATTTTACATGCCACATTGGATTTTTGGAACCATGTGGCAATGGAATGAGACAATGCACAAACTATTGGAGATGCTCTTATACAATTGCATGTATTTGACTATTTTACTAGTAGATTTAATATTATTAATTATTTAGATATTGACCATAGTACATAATTAGTAACTTTCTATATACATGCAAATTATCATATTTTGCAAAACATAAGAGCGAGGAGATTGCGCAATATTTATGCGCAATAGTTAGGCAGATTGATCAGTTATAGTTTTCAATAAAAATGAATACTTATGTCATTAAATGTCATACTTTAATTTATATTATATTTTAAAGTATGGCATTTTCAATTTATAAGTATCTATACTTAAAAAGTAAATTCGTCTAATGGTTAGACCGAACTAACACAAAAAATTATATCACATTAAATAATCTTTTGTAGGGAAATATGTGATTACCTTGCCACTTTTCCTATGATTCATCAAAAGTAATAGGCAATAAAATGGGAAATGTAGAAGAACAAAAAGGTTGCATGCCACTTTATGTAAAGACCTTTTCTCTTTCTTTATTTCTTTTTTTCTCCTCCTTTTTCAAAAAGTTGTCTGCCTCTATTTCCGGTTTCTACTGGTTTTATTGGATGAATTTCATCCTACTCGTGTTGGTGTTTACATGGGATTTTAACCATTTGATCGATACATATTCCCCCACTCGTGTGAGTGTATGTGATACAACAGTTAAAAATTCGGTGTGGGCACTTTCGAATTTGCCTGTAAAGTTTATTGATCTATAAATATCAAGTTATTTCACAAAAATATAGTAAAAAGAAAACAAAGAAAAAAAAAATCCAAAACTCTACTCATACAATTGAAAATGAATTAAAGAATAGACTGCAACAAAGTGGTACAAGGATGTCCTGAATGGCAAGAACAATGGGACTGCAAAATGAATAAATCAAAATTTCTTAGGCCAAAATTTGATATTCGGTTTCCAATAGTGTTTTCTGGGTTGAATCTGGGTCGATCGATCTACGAGACTCCTCCCATAATTTTGTCTCGACACCCAACTTCCGGAGCTCCATCAAACCACGCTCGACTGAGACAAACAAGCAAACAAATAATCGGGAAAAGAAAAGGAAAAAGGTCGAATGTTTTTTGTAATCGTAAGATTATAGTAAAGTGAATCCATGCAGCACAAGCAAATGTACAAGCGTAAGGTTACATAATCGTAGGGGTGACGATAGGTCTAGTATTTTCATAAAATTATTTAAAAAGTTATCTAAATAAAGTATTGAAAGACATTACACATTTATTTTATTTTATTTTGTCTTAAAATGTCAAAAAAATTATTGGTCTGGCGAAAGATTAAGAGAGAGTACCGTCTACTGCATCGTGCGAATTAGGTTGTTTATTTCCTTGGTTGATCCAATTTTGTAGTCTGTCCTCTGCAATGTCCGGTTCAAGGCCTTGATTTTTTGCTCTTCTCCATATAAACATCAGCCAAGCCTGAAAATATGAAAAATAAGTTTGGAATGTTACTATATTTCACGCCAAGAATCAACAAATTCAGGGTAAATTTAAAATGGCGGTCCACAAGATTAATAAAACGTAACAATATTTAGAACAGTAAAAAGAGTTCACAACTTACCTGCTTTAGAAGCACATCTTCAGACTCCTCTGGAGTTAGTTCTGAAACAAAGGATAATTATCCAAAAAAATTAGTCATATTGTCGTAAACCAATAAAAATATAGTTATGTACGAAAATTTACCAAACGCTTCCGCAAAATTTTGGCCCTCTGCTGGCAGTTTTAGTTCATCTACAATTTATCAAAGTGAAAATATATTTGAGAATGTCTACACAGAACACCATCAAATCAACTAAGTAATTTTATTTACTGCAGATAACATGTGAAAATGATAAAAAATATGTGAGAGGATATGAATAAGCAAAAGAAATGAGCATAGCTAAAAAGGGCAAAAAAAAGCAGAATGTGAAGCAAATAATCTGCCGAACCAGGTTTTACGATATTCGGGCGACGCTTTTGGGCCAATGTTATAGCTATTGCCTCCTCAACCTTCAAAACAAAAACATTTAGAACAAAGATATATTCATTCAGGATAAAGTTAGAATAGATCAAATCAAACAATTAGAAGTAATATTAAATGCGACCTTAAGTAAGGTCAATTCCCTAAGACTTCTTTCAACCGAAAGCATGCTCTCAACGTTAGGCTTGTTTGAAATTTCATCCTTGGCTTCCAGAATATTCTCCCTTTCTTCCAAATCACTATTATCTGCCAAATTTTAACTAACAAATTACTAAACACGAGAAGCTGGCGTAACACTAAACCGAACTGTCGCGCTTTCTGTTAGGAGAGATTGAATATTTGCGAAAAAAGTTATGCTGATTAAGATATTACTTTATTTTTACATGCAAATCTCTGTGAAACCAAAATTACTGTCTGAAAACATGTTGAAAGATGAACGTACTCGATGAATTTTCATTCTTTGCTTTCCTTCCTGCAGCCAATATGACTTCAACAGGACGTAAAGCAAAAGATGACCAGTATTCATGCCTTGCGCTAGCTATATCAGCATGAATACCTGCAAAAAGTAAAACCTTATTCTAAAGTCTACATGCAAAGAAAGAATGAAGCTGAGCAAAAAAAAAATTGGGAATTCAAATATAATATGCATGGTAGAAAAATTCGAAAACCGAAACTTGTGTTAGATGGAGATAATTATCTTTTCTTGCAGCTTCGGTATTCTTTTTGTCAGATTTTAGTTCATTTAGTATCTCTTGAATTCTTTTCGGCTTCTTAGAGTGTTCTTTCTTCAAAATTTTCGTTATTTGTTTTTTCAGATTCTAAAATTACCATAGCTGACACATATATTCCAGCACCTGGCAAGCCAACACCTCTTGAGAACAACTTCTTCCTACAGTGTTTAAGACTGTCAATTAAGTATAGACAAAAGAAAAAAAGGAAAGCAAAAAAACAGAAAAATTGCTTTTAACTTAGTAAACACCATCTCTTCTTGAGTCAATATCATTCTCTGTGTCGTTGTTCTAAGTGATTTGACTTCACTTTCAACGTCGTGGAGAAGCTCCATAGCTGATATGGCTTCGTCCCTTGCAGTCTTAACAGACAAATCGGATTAGTCACAATTCGACATTTAAACTCGGGTTAATTTCATCACAAATGACAGATGTACTTGAGTTTTCGGCCAAAATACATACCAAAAAATGATTATATTACATTAAATTAGTATCTATACAGAAAATGCTAACACCAAGAAGGCTGTTGTGGGGAAAGGAGTTTATACAATATTAAATATTATAATCGGTTTTCTTTTTGTTATTTAGATTTTTTTTTTTAAATGTAGCGGAACACTTGAAAATTAGTACCTCGACTTCTGCTCGGAGGGCAGCGATCTCATCACTACTCCCACCGTAGGTTTCTGTGGCGGCTTTTAGAGCGGCCTGCACAGATCAAAAAGCATTCAGCACAAAATCGAAAATGCATTTTTAAAAGATTTCGTCATTAAAAAAAAAAAAATCAATTTGAACTTTCGTCATTGTGTTTTCATCATACATCTGACATACTTTCAACAACTGTCACTAAATTCGATGTGGGATCTGCATAATAGCTTACGGGTTATAAGATTTCGACTGAAGCTCATGACAATAAGCTCTAGTCGTCTCTCATCAGTAAATACTTGGATTAATCATACCTCTCGTTTTTGAAGTTCTGCTTCCTTCCTGTAGAAGTTAAACACATCAAGCAGAAAGGATTTAGAACCAAAACCGACAATCTTAAGTGAAAAGGAGTTCGAAATTCATAACTTGCCTGCTCAAAAGCCGAGCTTCTAATGATACACCTTCTCCTAGAGATGCAACCTGATAAGAACACAGTTATATTAACATTTTCAGAAGGTAACCAGAAAAATAACTGTATTGCAGTGCTCTGAAATCACATTTTATTTTTTTTTACGGTAAGTACTGATAATTTCACTAATTTACCCAATAGGATTACCTGTTTCTCAAGCTGCCGAGCTCTTGATTCGGCTTCCTCGTACCTTTCTTCTGCTATCCTCAGCTGAAACAAACTTTTACTAACCAATGGGTCTATACAAATTACTAAACCTCTAAATTAAGACATGAAATACATTTTTTTATTTATTTAAATGAAGTATATAGAGTAAGAAACTGCTAGGATCACCTTTTCCAATAAGCTGTCATTTTCTTCTTGAAGCATGTCAAGCTGCAAATTTGAGACAGCATCTTTAAAGTGATGAGGATCGTAAAACGAAAATAAATAAATAAATAAATAAATAAATAAATAAAAACTTTCTAGAATTTCTTGGATGAAGATCTAGAACTCTTTTGAAATGGCAATGAAAGACTTCTAAAATTCCTCATACGAGCATTATGCATAATTACACATAATCTCAGTTATGTCTCTCTTGGGAAAAAGAGAAACAGAATCTTTCTAATGGATAAAACATTAATTTGCATAGCTCGGCCTGTATGAACGGTATAATGGACCTCACATCACCAATCAACTTAACGTCCTTATTTTTATACCTCATCTTGAAGAGCAGAAGAAGACTGCTGGCCAGTGGGCTCTTTATACTTGAATGTTCCAAAATCGAGCGATAACCTGGAGATTGATAGACCGAGTAATTCAAGAGATGAGTAAGCAGAATTTTTTTTTAAAAAAAAAAAAGGAAAAAAGGATATCACACCTTTTATCCCTGCTTTTATCAGGTTGAGAATCAGCTGAACTCCCCTGCACCGGCTTAACCGACAAAGGCACGCCAGGTGGCACCGTCTTAACCCTCAAATTGGGCCGGCCAACCGAACGAGCAGACAAAGGTTGATCCATAGAGCCACCATAAGAAGGTGACCGGCTTGACCGAGCAGATGGCGGCTGTGCCTCTTCTGGTGTCGTGTCGACCGGTTGAGGTTGAGGCGGACGGGCGGTGGGCACAGAAGGATAAAGAGAAGAATTGGGTTGGGGCTCAACGGGCCGAAGATAAGATGCTGAACGGGCCGACACGGGCTGCTGGTCAACCGAGCTCGAAGATACAGATGGTCTGGCGGCCGGCGGCACTAGCCGTGAAGAGGAAGGAAGTTGATCGACTGGTTTACGAACTGACTAGAGATTGAGATTCAGACAGTGGCGTTTATTACAAAATTACATATGGCGTTTATTGAGACACGACACGAGATGACAGACAAGTGTCTTACCAGCGGCGAACGAGTCCTAGAGTGCCTTCTTCCTCCAGCAAGACCAATGCCAGCAGAAGGAACAGATGAATCGAAATCGTACAAGAGATCATCTTCTTCTTCTTCCTCGTCTGCCGGCTGGTGGGCCATAACCTGAGCCAGCCTCTGAGCAGCCTCTTTTGCATTCTGTGGTTTTCTCACGCTAATTCCGGCGGAGCCAGACCGGATATGCCGGGACGACATTTTACTGAAGAAACACCGCTGCTAATGACGTGACACAAAGACTATCGTTCGTTCGGCTGCACATTCACTTGTCTCAGATGACTAAATGCGAGTAACTCAGAATAAATCATGAAAAGCTACGTTTATTATGTACAGCTCACAGGCATTTCACCATGTCCACTTTTTCCCCCAACTAACATCAGTCCATTACAGAACAAGAACCTGCACAAAACATTAAAATCAACCCAAGTTCGATATAATTCAGCTGGGGCACACGACTTTGACAGCTGGTACAAATTGGTCGGCAGCCGAATGGTTTTTAAGCATCCGAATATTTCTGCAATGTCGAAAAACGCGAGCCAAAATAGCAAAACCCTTGATTTTCCTCTTCAAACCACCCAAACACAAAGACAAAGCAAAAAGCAGGTCTCTTTGTGAGAGGGCTAAACTCTCACCATGTAATGAAAGACAGAATTTTTATTTTGTGGGCTTTCTTCAAAAGCCATACTTAAACATAATATCAACAAATGAAATGTAAAACAAATAATCAATCATAGCCCACCACATATTATCGAAGATCAATCAGATCCCAGGATAAAAATCCCTAATCAGAAGATATTCTAAAGACTCTCTTCACCAACATTATGCAGCCAAATTCGACCCAGCAAATCATGCACAGGAAATTCCAGATACACATGCGATGTATACTACAAAGATCTATAAGATTCGAAAGATTACAGCTTTTTTCATGCTAGTAAATCATACCTGATGATAATTTACAACCAAAAAAAAAAAAGAATTTTTCTCAGATGTTATGTTTCAATTTTTATTTTTTTCATTATTACACTCCATTATCACGGGACGCGGGTGCATAATCCGTCAATGGTCGTTACAATTTGGCGCTCTATTTGTATGGAAATGGAGTTGGATTCGGAGGTTTTATGGAAGGAGGATAATAAACAAAAGGAAATTACACTAACTAATACGTGGCAAACTNATTTTCAGTTGGAATAAAAATGACCGGCCACGTCATATTCTTGTCCGTCATAAATCGAGTCACATGTTTCGTTTTGTCAAAAATAGAAAATCGTGTATCGTTATGCCAAGAAAATAAAATTGTGACAAAAGTACAATTTACGAAAAGATCGTGTTATGAAGTGCAATTTTCTTTTGTCATTTTCGCGTATACAATATGATCGGCCACATCACATTCTTGTCCATCATAGATCGAGCCACATGTTTCGTTTTATATCAATAATAAAAGATTGTGTATCATTTTGCCAAGAAAAACAAAAATGAAATTATGACAAAAGTGCAATTTACGAGAAGATCGTGTTGTGAAGTGCATTTTTGCCGGTGCTATGGATAGTATGCATGCTGTTTTAAGTTTCAATGTGAAAAATATAATTCATGAATATGTTTATGGTAACATAAAGTTCTACTTTACCTGATGATAATAATAATAATAATAATAAAAAAAAGAGAAATACAATCATTTGAAAGTTATATTATGTGACAAAATGACTTAATCATGAATTGAACTTGTATTATACCATATGAATTTCATTCAATGATTTGAAATAAATTATCAGCGTAAGTGCAATTATACATTNGAGTATAGCAAATATACTGTTCATCTCCAGAAAAACTCATGCAATCAACAATTACGTACAGTCACAGAGGAAAAGTGAAGGAAAGAAAAAAAAAGTTACTGTTCCCAGTAAAAAGGGACAATGGAAGCAGAAAATACACAAACACCGACTCGTTTGTCCGATTTACTGCATTCCGGGGCGCGGACTACGAGGCCTCACGGGTGTTTTTGAAGGACTTACCCTGTTGCCAAAAGTAGTTACGGAATTATAATTTTCCCGAGAAGAGAAAAAAAAAATAATTATTGAAAGATAATAATGAAATAACAAGCTTTTTTCGTAAGTTTGAATGAATTTTACCTGATGCGTTGGGATCCAAGAACCTCACCACAACAATCGAGTGCCACTATTGCACTCTCAGCCTGAAAAAAATGTGTTTCAAGAATTAACCTTTTCGACTTTTATTTTTTTTTTTATTTTTTTGGTAGCTCTAAGCTTTTTTTTTTTATGTACAGGTGAATGAAATCTGTATTCGATTGGCTTCTTGAATTTTATCTGTCACTATAGTAATTGTTGAAAACATGCTATACAACACTATCTTCGAAAATCATTGCAAATTCTCTCTCTCTCTATCTCTCTCGACACCATAATAATATGAGAATTAAGTGGCAACTATACTCGGCATATAAAGCAAACATACCATGTAAAATTCTACGAAAGCAATCCTTGTCGAGTGCACGTGATCCCCAAGGAGCCGCAAGCGTGAGACCTAACAATTAAGAATTTCACCGCCATCATTGTACATTAGAAAAGTCAACAATTTGCAAAAAAAAGTCAAACCTATTAGGAGACTTTAATTGCATTACCTCGCCACATCTTGTTTCGAAGAAATTCTTGACATCAGCTTGAGTAACCTGCTCACAAAATATCACACAAAGTTTTAAAGGTAATTACCATTTAAACTTGGTAATTAAACTAAATTTCAAAACCGTTTATTCTCAGAGCACCTTCGATATGAGGCTAAATTCTAATCTTAATGTGGAATATTAACCCTTTGGGTGCAAGTAGCCACACATGTAATGAACCNAAAAAAAAAAAAGGAAGAAAGAAACAAGGAAGATGCTATTTACTACCTTCTTATCAATGTTTGTGCAGTAGACTGTCCTTGCGCACATCTCACGCTCATCCTCTGACTGTCAAAATTCCATTAAGTAGAGAAAAGATGCGGATTTTAATTAGTTCACATAACTTTGAGGGAGAAAGAGAATTTTAAAAAGAAAAACATTTAACAGCTTAAGCAATGCCAAAGATTTCTTCTTACTCTAGGAAGGAAAGTTGGGTTCACAGGTAAAATGGCAGTTTTGGAAGGTAAAACTTTCACGGGGGAGAAACCCAAAAGTGTCCCGTTAAGACTAAGAGCAGCTCTAGCAGAATCTGTTGCCATCAATCACAAAACGTAAGGTTTGATGAAACAGATAAGTATATTAATACCAACTTAAGAACAAACGGTAGAGAAATAAAATAAAATAAAAAAATGGCGTACAGTCATCAGCAAATTCCACAAAAGCAAATCGAAGATGGGAGTGTGGATCCCCGCAAACTCGACAGTCAACAACCTGAAAAAAAGAAAATATATGAGAAATAATTAAGTTATCTTCTAAATTGCAGATGCCCCAAATCAATTATTTCCATTCTTAGCATCTAAAGACTCAGAGACAATTAAGTTAAAGATATTACCCCAAATCCAATCACTTACCAGTCCATAGCCACTGAATAATGCAGCTAGCTGCTCCTCAGTGATCTAGTTTCAAAAC